AGCATATCTTTGATTTGTTTTAAATGAGGCTTTTGGGTAAAAAAGGCAAGTCCTGGGAAAATTCTCTCACTGGAGACGGTCAAGGGAAAAAGAGAAAAGAAAGGCTTCTTTGAAGCAGAAAAATCGGAACTCAGTATTGGCTGGTGTGACTTTCTTTTACTTACTAGTCCTGCACATGCTGAAGCTCCCTCCAGATTTCAAGAGTAGGCTTTGGACAGGAACAGCCCTGGATACCTACACCTCATGTGCACCTCCACAGGGTACAAGGTTCTGGCTGAGGCATTCCCTCACCACTGATCTATTGCATGCCACATTCCTACCTTCTATAAAACTGCTCAATGGAGTTTTAAAAGACTTAAGAAAATAAGTGACCAAGAATTGCAAATAAGGCAACCTAAGAAGCAGGGTTTAGAGTTAATTAGCCCTTGAACTGTCAAGCTCAGTTGCATTCAGTGAGTTCTGACGTTTCTGAGAATAATTAGGGACTTGGCTGTCACATTTCACGAAGACCCAACTACTACGTGAACAAGTTCTACCTGCTTTTCCTGCACGATGTCCAGAAACACACACATAAAAGAGCATAATAGCCAGTGCTAATTGCAGATCCTTGGGGTAAGTGTCATGTTTTTGAAGAAATTTTCCTATTTTTGCAGTGAAATACAATGGCTCCACTTAAGGGGTAGAAGCTAGTGGTGCTTTAAAGCCATCTGAAATCACTGGTGATAGTAATAGCCAATATGTACTGTGTGCTTACTATGTGCCAGGCTCTATGCTAAGTGCCACAGAGCCTATGAGGCAGACGTATGTATATATATAATCTCAATTAATAGATGAGGAAACTGAGACACAGAGAGGTTATGCAAGTTTGTCAGAGTCATACAGTGTCTTAGTTCATTTTGTGTTGCTATAACAGGAAGCCTCTACAAAGAAAAAGGTCTATTGAGCTCATGGTTCTGCAGGCTGGGAAATTCAAGGTCGGGTAGCTGCCTCTGATGGCTTCCGGAAAGATCCTCATGCTGAGTCAAAACATCACAGAGAAATGAAAGGGGAACCAGAAGTGTAGAAAGAGCAAAAAAAGGATTACTTCACTTTACAACAACCTGCTCCTGGAGGAACTAATCCATTCCTGCAAGACTAGCCCAGTCTTTCAAGAAAGGCATTAATCTACCCTAATGACTTAATCACCCCTTAAAGGCACCGCCTCCCAGGACAGCTATGTTGTCAATTACATTTTAACATGAGTTTTGGTGGGGACAAACCACATTCAAATTATAGCACATAGGCAAGATCAAACCCAGGCAGTCCAGCTCCAACACTGGTGCTCTCAGCAACGGTGCTCAGTGCTTCTCAGCCTTACCACTAGATTCTGCTGCTGTGGGACCAGTCAGCTTTTCTGGTGTACATTATTAATCTTGTCAGAAAGAATCCATTGATTCCAAAATTGCGCATGATTCTGATTTCTTGCCCTCCAGAAACCGTCATTCAAGTGGGAAATAAATGTTTCTGTAACATCTTTAACTCAGCCCATATTCAAGTGACTGCTTCTTAGTTACCTCCTACCAACTTCATTCACTCATCAAATATTTCTTGAACATTTGCTATGTTCAAGACATTGTATCAAGCTTTATAAGACAGAAAATGATTAGAGCCTTCCCAGGAGGAGCTTATACTCTAGTTGAGGAAATAACACATGTAGTATTTATAAAATAATATAAGACAAGGTAGTATAATACAAGGTAAAGTATAACACAAGATAATCTAATACAAGGTAAAAGTGGTAAGTACCACAAGAAAAATATTTAGGGCTATAGTTATTCAGAAGAGAGAAATGACTTACAGGATGAGTATGAATGTGTGTGTGTGTGTGTGTGTGTGTGTGTGTGTGTGTGTGCACGTGCACTGTGCAAGGTGGGAAAATTTGGTGGAGAGGATAGGAAGAAAAGAGATGAGGAAAAAGGCATCAGAGAAGACTACAAAGAAAGAAATGTGATAAGCTTTTGCTACGGGCTCAGTTATGTTTTCACAAAATTTGTAGGTTGGAGTATGAATATCTGGTACCTCAAATGTGGCTATATTTGAAGATAAGGCCTTTAAAGAGGTAATGAAGTGAAAATGAGGTCATTAGGGTGTGCCCTAATCCAATATGACCAATGTCCTGATTTATTTTTTTTCTGAGATGGGGTTTCACCATGTTGGCCTTATAAGAGGACATTTGGACACAGACAGGCAGAAGGAGGACAACAGGAAGACGCAGGGAGAAGATAGCCACCTACCAGCCGAGGAGAGAGGCCTCAGACGGAACCAACCATGCTGGCATCTTGATTTCAAACATCTAGTTTCCAAAAAATAAATTTCTGTTGTTGAAGCCACCAGTCTGTAGTACCTTGTCATGGCAGCCAAAGCAGACCTGGGCTGATAATATAGCCTTGGAAAAGAGAGCGTTTAGACCTGGGGAGATGTGAGCTGAGGGAGGGAATGGGGGAGCGTATTTGGAACAACTGGATTTTATTTAGAAAATAATGGGGGGCCATTGCAGGCTCTGGGGCAGGAGTAATATGAACAGCAGTCATTCAATGTATTTCATTCATTCAGAAAACCTTTACTGAGAGTCTGCCCTGTGCCAGGCATTGCTAATACCAGCTCCAGAGCCGCAGCTATGAATAAGACACCTCAGCACAGGGCTTTTTAAAGGAACCCATCACTGGGTAAGAAAAAATAATTGAAAATGAATTACACTAAAGAGAGCACGGGGCTGGGGTCGCTCGTTAGCAACCTTCTATCCTGGCCTAACCCAGTGCTTTTCCGTCTTCTTTGGGAAGAGTCTGATATAAACTCCTCAGGGAAGTATCCTCCTCAATATCCACCCCAGCTCCTTGGCCCTGTTCCCAATCGTAGGTAATGGAGCTGCCACGTCTCCTCTGCTCAGCTCGACTAGCCAAGAATATTTGGTTGAGCTTTGCCTCCTGTAGTTAGCATTATGTGACATGGCTTTATTATTCCTTTCAAATATGCATATTAAATTGAGATGTCTTTTCCAAACTCCACATTCTACCAGGAGGTTTTGAAATAACTACTCCCCTCCCCATCCCAAAAGCTCTGCCAATACACCCCTGCACCCACCACCACAGGCAATGGTCTTTTGATAGCAAACAACAACATCTCTGCTAGGTAATGACTGAAAAAAACAAAAAAGGAAAAAAACTATAGAAATAAGATACCTATGGTGACAAATCTTCCCTCAGTGTGACGGGCAGACTAGTAGTTCCCAAAGATGTCCATGTCCTAATCCCTAGCACTGGTAAATACATTACTTTACCTTGCAGAGCTGACTAAATTCCAGGCCCTCAGATGAGTCTGGATTATCCAGGAGGGCTCAATCTAGGCACATAGGTTCTTAAAAAGGAGAAGGCCTTTCCCAGCTGTAGTCAGAGGGAGCCATAACTGTGGAAGGGTGGCCAGAGAGACACACTGTGGCTGGCTTTGAAGATGGAGGAAGGGGCCATGAGCCAAGGGGTGGGAGCAGCTCCTGGAAGCAGGAAAAGATAAGTGAATAGATTCCCCCTGGAGCCCCCCAGAAAGGATCACAGCTCTGCTGATACCTTGATTATTAACCCATTGACACCCATGTCAGAATTCTAACTATAGAGTTGTAAGATAATACATTTGTGTTCCTCTAAGCCACGAATGTAATTTGTTACAAGGCCAGCAGAACACTCATACACTCAATTTGCCATAATTCAAACAAGCTAGACCTTCTTATCTGAAGAATGCATCCTTTCAGGATTGCCTTCGTATTACCTTCCTGTTCACAATACCATTCCCCCATGTGGTAGGCTCATTGGTCTTGTTTTTCCTCCCAGATTCTAAGCTCCTTAGGGGCAGAGACTGGATCATTTATTCCAGTATCTCTAGTGCCAGCATAGTGCCTGCCACGTAGCAGATTTCAGTAACTATACATTAAATGAATGTATGGACGCCCAAAGCTGCTCAGGGCTTCATAAAGCCCCAGTAGAACCTCCACAGAGAGGCACTAGTGGTTCTTTTCAGACATAAAGGGGTCAAATCTGATGTCACCATTGATGTATATATATGTCATTATGTTGAATTGAATTTCTGTTTACTGTAACCATGGCAACAACAAATACCATTCACATGCAGAGAACAGTTAGTTATTTAGACAACCATCAGTGAAGGCCCGGCTTCCTAAGAAAACCTTTGTGCAATGTGACTCTGAGCTCTTTTTCATGAAGTGTGTTCAACAGCAGGGCCTGTTCTAAATGGCTCTCCCTATGTGATTCATTTAACTGGTCCATCCAGCAAAGGCATGGAACCCAGAAACAAAGCTTCATTGCTTTCGATGCACTCCTCATGAAATTATGTCTGTTTTTTGCAAAGAAATGATCATTTCATTCACAATTTTTCACTGGTGGGTAGAAAGCATGAAAGTTGCTTTCTAGGAAAGCTGATAGTGGATAGTTAAAAAAGAAAGAATGCAGCTTCTTCCCCATTGTAACTTTGGTAATTATTTTCAACTGTCATGAGCAGAAACTCAGGGAGCTGGGGCAATAGAGTCTAGAGAAAGCCCTACTGGCCAGGATCTGCTCTATGGTTGCTCCCTCCACAATAAAGCCACTCTGTAAGGGTGCTCTGCAACTTCCCTGCTATTGCTGCTTGACCCAGCAGCGTCAGGCTACAGCTGAGATCCTGCCTCTGGAGTGGCTTCCATCCCTCCCACAAGGACTTGAAGAACTTGACCAGGTACAACCTCAAACCACCCAACACTTGGGCCTTTGGGTAGCTGTTCTCCTTCCAGGTCACCTGTGGGGAGAGTTAGCTTCTCCTTATTTTCTCCGCATACCCTGAGTGCCTCTCATTGGAGACCAGCGTTTTCCCTCCTGATTCCAGGTCCTCTCTGCAATCATTTGCCCATCTCCAACCCTGACTTCAGGTAACAGATTCGACCTTGCTCCAACTATCCCCAAAACAGCCCCGTGAAAGTGTTCCATTCAGGACGGTTTATTTTGGCCAGGCCATCCCAATGAATGACAACTCTCTTTGGTGATGCATCCTTCACTATAAACATCCCGCTGTTGAGAGGCTGCTTGTGTGTACATTTCCAAGTCAGGTGCACTTTTCTTTTTGGTTCCCAGTTCCAAATCCTTGAGCAAGGGCATAACGCTGGCCAGTGATGGTCCTAAATTTATCCCCAAGGGCTGAGGGGAGTAATTCTTTCCCCTCCATATCAAAATAGTCATCTAGCAGGGCCTGTGGTGACTCTAATGTGGCCTGGGCAGTCTCAGTATGGGTTCATCAGGTCTTAGTCAGTAAACAGGAAGTGCATGTTTGCAGAGCAGAGCTGGGAAGCTGCCACACAATTTTTTTCTTCTTGGCTCATGTATGAGTGCTTCTGTGGCTCCAGGTATCTGACGGAGGCATACCAAAATCAAGAAGTATTTAATGAGTCACTAATATAGATTAACTGCTGTAACTTAGCTTGACCCGGAAAGAAAATAGATGGGCTAGCAATGAAACATTTGGAATAAATCCTAAGCCATTACCAACTGTGGTAGGTAGTCATCAGAAGAGCTGAGCTGTTGTCACATGAGGAGAGCCAGGGCAGGTTAGGGGCAGGAGGAGCCTGGGGAGGTCCCCTCCAGGCAGGAGGGCTCAGTGGTGAGCAGCCCAGCACCCTTCAGGGGAGGGCACTCAACAAACATGACCATGCCTTATAGAGGCGGGCCAGGGACAAGGACTGGTGAGAAGGCCCTGTCCAAGTAAGAAGAGAGGCAGGATCCAGCGGAACCCCGACATGAATACTCTGTTTAAGAGGCAACATCTCTGGAGAAGACCAAGAAGAGACAGATGATGGAGTGGAAAAAATGGACTCTTTCTTTTTTGTTTTTGAAATAGAGTTTCGCTCTTGTTGCCCAAGCTGGAGTGCAATGGCGTGATTTCGGCTCACTGCAACCTCCGCCTCCTGGGTTCAAGCACTTCTCCTGCCTCAGCCTCCCAAGCAGCTGGGATTACAGTGTCCGCCACACGCCCAGCTAATTTTTTCTTGTATTTTCAGTAGAAACGGGGTTTCACCATGTTAGCCAGGCTGGTCTCCAACTCCCGACCTCAGGTGATCTGCCCGTCTCAGCTTCCCAAAGTGCTGGGATTATGGTCGTAAGCCACCATGCCCCGTCAGATGGACTCTCCTAACCCCTTCATCAAGATGGGATAAAGGGCCAGGTGAAGTGGCTCATGCCTGTAATCTCAGCACTTTGGGAGGCCGAGGTGGGAGGATCACTTAAGTCCAGGACTTTGAGACCAGCCTGGGTAACATAGTAAGACCCTGTCTCTACAAATAATTTAAAAATTAGCCGGATGTGATGGCACACACCTGTGGTCCCAGCTGCATGGAAGGCTGTGGCAAGAGGATCATTTGAGCCCAGGAGTTCAAGGCTGCAGTGAGCCGTGATCATACCATGGCACTCCAACTTGGGCAACAGAGTTAAACATTATCTCAGAAAAAAAAGGAGGGGGGATAAAGGAGGAAAATTATAAAAAAAGTGAGCTGACAAGTGCGTATTAGAGGACAGAAGCTGATGATTTGAGAGGAAGCAACCGAAGGTGTACCTGGGAGGCCACAAGTCTTTGGAGCCAGAGGTGTTACTGTGTGTGAAGACACAGCTCTAAAGAAGGTACCTATTTTGCCCAAACATAATCAGCCAAGGATAGTGTCCTGCTGCCAACCTGTATTGGCAAATGACCAAACCCCCCTCATCCCTCTAAAACTCCTTTTCCCTTCTTAGACTCCCCCCCAGTAGGTTTTGTACAATGGAGGAGGCGACTGGACTTTACTAGCAATCTGTCTCCATGGTCCTTGTTATAAACAAAGGGATCTTTAATCGGAGAGCATTTCCCCACCCAGTCGTCAATGTGACATATATGCCAACATCTTGCAACTGATAAGCTATACAATAAAAAGAAGGCATAAGGTTTCTTATGCAAATATATGTTCCTTTGAACACAGTGAAATAGACAGCTTAGAGCTGTCTTTCAAGCGATTGATGTCCAAATTGATAGCCCAGCCCTGGACAGAAACAATCAGGATGGCCTCCCGTCAGAGATAGTCCCGTGGTGGTGAGCCAGAGGTCACCAAGCCACAGGATAAACCTGGTACAGCGTAACAGGAAGGGCTGGCTAGATTATGGAATTAGAGAATGTACATGGCACTTAAAGATAAAACACAAAACTGTAAAGAAATGTACCCTTTTAGGGGGCTGCAATAGGCCACACCCCCAGAATCCCAAGAGGTTCTCCTGTGGAAAATTTGAAATGCTTTGCTTATGGACATATAAGGAAGTCTCACCTAGCTCAGCATCCCATATTCTCACTTTCATCGCCCCCCCCTTGATGAAAAAAATCAAATATCATGTGTCATCACAGACAGAGAAAAAGCACAACGTCTAAATGAATACAAGAAACACGAATCCAAAATGCATAGAGAACATAGCTGCACACCCTCTTTCACCCTCTTTCACATTAAAAAAACAATTAACAGCAACCTCAGCTAACAAAGCAAAAGGACACATGGGGTAATCCAGTGATCCGACAGGGCCGGGGCATGGCTCCTGACAAGGTAGTCTTTGTGGGAGGGTGTAGAGTAGCTCCACCCCGGCCAGATCAAACATGAGGGCTGTAGGCTTAACATCTTCCCAGATGTCTTCAGCTTTCCTTCCTTCTTCTGTGGTCCACTGAGAGGCCAGCGGTCCAACCCTGCTTCACTCCCCTCTAGAAGACATCCCGGAGGCTCCCAGCCTGCCAGCTCCTCTGGAAACACTGCCTCGTCACACACCCTGTGCAGATACCTGCCAGGTGCCCTATTCCCTCCTAGATCCCATTTAAAATCCCACAATTTAGGGCAGCTGCCCTTCCTAGCCTTATATTACTTTTCTTTTTTTAACCTTAATCTGACCAGGCTATTTGCCAGCCCTCCGCTGCTTTCTTGGATTTTCGTGCACTGTGCTTTTTCCCAGGAATCTCTTCCTGCCTAGCAGAATCTGGAGCTCATTCTTTAAGGCTCAGTCAAACTCTACTACAAAGCCTTGACTAATCCTCTCTCTCCTGTGGTTCCGTCACACTATGACAGTTGTCACATTGCTTTGGACTTTTAGCCATTTGATCTGAGATTCAAAGGCAGCAACTTGAGAGTCAGCCTGTGTTTTACTTATTTTGGTATTTTCCACACTCCTTACACATATGTTCCTTTCTCCTGCTACAACTCAATTTGTTCGCCTTGGACAAGTCACTACATGTAAGACTTGGTGCCCTTATCTGCAAAATGGGGCTAATAATAATCATAAGTCCTTCATAAGCATTGTTATTAGAATTAAATGAATGGATGCAAGTTAGGCGTTTAGTGCACAGCTTGATATAAGAAGTGTTACTTGCTACTGTAACAATATTCTATAAAAATAAATTTTTATTTATTTAATGCTGTAACAGTCTCTTTCCAGCTTTGGGGGCATCTCTTAACTTCCTTCCTTTGTGAAGAAAAAAGTACTTACTATGTTTTGGTGTTCTTATTTCTCGCTTCACATCCAGATCATTTTGAGGGTCTTTAAAGATATTCATGCCTGAGCCCCACCCTCCAAAAATTCTCCTTCAGTGGGTGGAGCCTAGCCATGACCAATTTTTGTTTGTGGAGCATTTCTCTTGCGGATCTAGGGTGGACAACCCCTGCAAATCACTAGATAGCTTATCATTTCTACCAGAAGTCCCTTCAGCCTTGATTGCTAGAGAAACAAGCTGTAATTTAGGGGAATTCAATCTCCAGAATATCCTACTATTAATACCCAGAGATGTACATTTCACCTTCTTTAACTCCACCCCTGGTCATTCCCTCTAAGCTCTCATGATGACTCAGCGTTCTTCCTACCTCTTGGTTTTCCTTCCATTTCCATAATAGTAAAGTACTTGTTAGGATAACTTACTGCTAAGTAATAAAAACATAAAGTAGTGGTGAGTAGAAGGGGAAGAACACATAAAATCTTTCCAACTCTCCATTTCTCATTTCTCCTCCCTAACTCATGATGAGAAATAGGCCTGATCCCATCAGCCAAGAGTGGGGAGGCGTACGCAGGAATGGCCTGGTGCCTGTGTCCACGTGAGCAGCTGCACAGACAGTTGGACGATTACAACAGTAAGTCTAGGGTAATTGCTGTTAGAGAGATGCAGAACCCTATTTTTTTGCCCTGTAGCCACTTAAAAACCTTTGTTCATAATTACAGAAAGAAAGCTTGTACTTCTTACCGGGCATTGGATTTCAGTGGGAATTAGGCCAAAATAGGGACCAGAGAATTGGCCCCACTGCGGCCAACCTGGGAATGCTGAATCAGTCCTGTTCTGCCGACTCAATTCTCTCTTCGAACTGCAAGACTCAGAGTCTAAGCATTGAGACCAGTGGTTCTATTGCCAAGACAAAGGAAAAAAAAAAAAGGCTGATTAAATTTGAAACATGGCAGATAATGCCAAAGGCAGAGTTGATATGATCTCCGAAGAGAGAGAAACAGAATGTGCGTATTGGAAAAATGAAGTCGTGTCATAAGATGACTACTACGAAGCAGTTGTTCTGAAGAATCCCCCTTTATCTGTGTCCTCTTAGATGTCCTCTTTCTTTGTTCCCTTAGACTCTTCTAGTTCTGGATGGTCTCTGGTCGTTGCTGTTGTTTTTCTAATAGCCAGAGGAATGTGACTTAAAAATCCACATGAAAGGCCCATGAAATATCAAGGTGATTCTGAGGATGGCTCCACTTGCTCCAGAGCCCAAGTTCTGGCTTAGGTAGAGGATACCCCAAGGAGACTCAAACCACAGATCCAACTTTGAGCTGCTCCCAAAAGCCCCAAAATGCCTTCAGCCCAATCCAGACAGGCTTAAAAGATTAGTTGGACAGAGTCTTGGACGTAATTTTTACAGGTTAGGAAACTAATGCCTAGAGAGGGTAAGTAAGCCACCCAGATCGCATATGCCCGCAACAGAGACAGGCTGAGCGCCTGACTTCTAACAGCCATGCACTTGCTGGATTCCTTCTCTGAGCTGGGGAATGCCAGGCTAGCCCCAGAATGGCCTGTGGGGCTGGAGAAGAAGACTGTTCCCAAGCCATATACCCCATGGCCCTCCAGTTTTGGGTGAATGCTTTTGAAAACTTCGTCTAGGCACTGATTACGCAAACAAAACAGAAGAAGTGGAGACTGAGTGAGCCAGCCAGAGAGGACATTCTTTATGTATGAAGTCACTGGCTTTCATTGCAAGCTACTCACAGAAACAAGGTTCTTGTGTGGACTGCCACAAGTAAGGTTCTCCAAGGCCTTGAGCTGCAGCAGAGAAAACGTGAAACATCTACAAAATGTTCTGCGGCTTTACTCAGCTCTTTAAACTCAAATATTTGTTTTGGATCAGGAAATGGCTCAGGGCATGGACACAATCTGACCAAGTGTGTGATCCCGGTGCCACGTGGCCACAGCATGATTCAGGATTTCTCCGACTTTAGCCACTCCTCTAATTATCAACAGCACCTGAGTCAGACTCCTGGCGTCCTGGTGGAGCCAGGACCCACCCTTCCACTGCCAGCCTGTCTCCAGGGTCGAGTGCAGTCCAGCGCCCCCTGCTGGGCACCCTCTCTTGTTCCTCTCCAGCTGGGTTTGCCAGCCTGGACTGGCTGCCCAAATTCAAGACATGGCAGCTAATGCCATGTGTGACTTAAAGGCTCTCCACTTTCTGTTTTACAGGAGGGTCCGTCTGCTTAAGATGCTCAGTGTCTGGGGATGCCATATTTTTCCTGTCGCCAGCCCCTCTCAAAAGAAGGAAATTCATTTGGGAGTGGTTTGGGGTGGATGAGGACATCCTTCCTTCACATCTTTGGTGTCACCGAAACAGGTGGAATTCCTGGCTGGAGGCAGGTGACGCTCCGGTGAGCACATCCGAGGCAGCAGGCGTAGTCTGCTCACTTCGCAGCTGAGAAGGGGGAGAGGTTTTGCCAGCTGCCTCATCAAATGGAATGCAAACAAACAGAGAGGAGAGCTCTGCTTACTCATCACGCCCTCAGCTACTCCAGGCCTGCTCCAGGGTGCTCAGAGAAAAAGAGGGCAGCCCTCTGCCAAGCAAGGCTCCCTGGTGCGTCTTTCCAGGGAGGAAGGACTCCTCTGGGAAGAACTCCCGCTAGGGCACTCCGGGCATCTGGATTTCCAGCTGTACTCAGCAAGGAGTGGCCACAGAAAGTTCTGAGTGCTTCTTGAAGGAAAGCATAAACCATCAGCAGAGAGGTAGAGACAGAGAGAGAGAGAGAGAGAGAGAGAGAGAGAGAGAGACAGAGAGAGAATGGGCCTCCCAGCCTACAAAGTCCCTGCACTAGAAGTAAGGACATCAAGCTTGAGACCTCGAAGCTGCAGCCGTGCACACCCATTCTCCCAGCAGCTCATGTCTGCAACTCCTGCCACAGAGAGGGGCCTTCCACCCCACAACCGAAAATAAGACTTAAATGCACATACCCCTTTGATGGAAAAACAGTGACCTTCAAACCCATTGAAACAAGAAGTCACTGATTTTAAATCCTTTACTGAGATTGATAAGGTTAAAGGATTATGTGTCAGGTGGATGTGATCCACCGCCACTACACAAATTGGGCTAGGGCTTACTCTTCTCTCATTAAAAAACCTGATTGACTCCCCCAACGTAGGTAGAATGCACCCTCTCCTCTTTGGATTCTTTATTATCTTCCTTAGTGATGTTGTGAGGCTTTCTCAGGACTAAGCCTGCAAGTTGTCTATTAACCCAGCTTTCCAGTGGAGACTGCCTAATATTGACCAAGTGCTTTAGAGAGTCATATCATCTGTGAGCCGGCAGAGATCCAGAACTCCAGTCCAGCACTCACATTTTACAGACAAGGAAGGCAGTGCCAGGGCCTTAGCCCGGCTTCACAACTCTTTCTGTGGTTCTCTTGGTGACTGACAACAAAATGACACCTCCCTATTCTGGTCTGGCTTGGGCTCTGGCTGCTGGTACAGAACTGGCCGAAATCCTTCCTTTCAAGCTTTCTGGGTAATGGAAACCCTGCTTGACTAATTAGGGCCCACCTCTCTGGAACTCCTGAATCACTGCCATTCATTAAAGATAGAAAAGCGTTTTCTCCCCCCTAATGAAGGAGAACTGGAATAATATAGATGAGTCACACACACTGAAAACTATCATGATATTCAAGAAAGGTTACCTTCTCTCACACCTGCAGACCTGCGAGGGTGGATTTAAATCTATACCCAGTTCCTCTCCTTGGGCTCCAACTGTGGCAAGAGGGTTTGTTGCTGGTTGTTTTTTGTTTTTTTTTCTTTTGCTCCAGTTCCTTGTTGTAGGATGGGGATGTGGGTTCTGTTTTAGGAGGTATGGATTTCGTGGGCAGATGGTGTGGAGGAGGTTAGAAGAAAAGCAATACACACACACAGAAACACACACACACCACCCCCACACACATTAACGCACACACACAGAAACACACACAAACCACCCCACACACATTAATGCACACACACAGAAACACACACACACCACCCCACACACATTAACGCACACACACAGAAACACACACACACCACCCCACACACATTAATGCACACACACAGAGACACACACACCACCCCCACACACATTAATACACACACACAGAAACACACACACACCACCCCATACACATTAATACACACACACAGAAACACACACACACCACCCCACACACATTAATACACACACACAGAAACACACACACACCACCCTCACACACATTAATACACACACAAAAACACACCCCACACAAGCACATATGCACACACTCACACCACACAAAGACACTATATACTCACAACACACATAAATGCACATGTAAACACACACATAGTCTCACACACATACAAACACTCACAGTCATACACCCACTCACACTACACACAAACACAAATATACAAATATGCACTGACATTCTCTCTCACACACACACTCTCCCATACACACTCTCACAGAAACACACTCACACACATACACACTCACACACATGCACCCCTTTGGTTGCCACAGACCTTGGTGTTTGTTCCTAGTGGCTGAGTTGTGAGACTCTGTTTTGAATGTGGGAATTGCAAAGAGCAAAGGCATTCCTCAGGTTCAGGCCAGCACCAGCCAACGGGAGCCGCGGGAGAAAGAGAGAAGAGGTGATTTTATTCTCTAAGAATAACTTTTGAAGTTGGAGCTGGATTTTGCGTATTCACCTTGGTGATGTCACTTTACCCCGCTGTTTCTCAACACACAGTGCCTCTGAGGAGGCTGATGCCAGGCCTGCGAGGTACACCCTTAGCCACTGCTATGATGTCAGTTTTTGGTGACAACTCATGTTCTGGATGCGCCATGGCTGACCAAGTTTGACAGGGTAGATAGCACACATCTCCAGTTTGAAAGTCATCATAATTCTTGGAATGTAGAGAAAAGTCATAAGGAGTGGTTCATAACTTCTTAGAATGATTATGCTTCCCTCTAATGATGTATAAGCAGAAGACAGCAGCTTTGGAAGATGGGAGTAATTCAGGACTAACCAGGGACCCCTAGATCTGGAAGAAGGAAGCGAAGTTAGTGCTGTCTTCAAAGCTTTCAATATTTCCTTAGATTTTAGTGCACCTTCAATCCAAAAACATAACTAAGGATATATTTGCTATGGGGAGTGGTTTGTTAAATTAATGCTATGTTGGCCAATTTAAAAAGAAAGATATGAAATGGCTCCACAAGCTGTAGAACTACACATGGGAATTAGCTTGGGTATTCTGATTTAAGGAAACAAATTCAAGAGAAAAAAAATTCTGTTTTATTGCAAAATTAGAGTTGAAGAAATCAGGTAGGGACAGATGATACTTTCAAAAACACCAAGTTCTATAATCTCCTACCCAGATTTCACAAGCCTTCAGGGTTGTTTTAGTTTTGTCAATGGGCTTAAAGAACTTTATCCAAAACTTCTTAAAATAACATTAAATCCTTTAAAGTTTTTTGTAAGGTGTCAGGGTGCCCTTGTAAAAAAGAGAGAAGGGATTATTATGACATCCAACCAATTATGGCGTATTGCAAGCACCAGAAGTGTAGTCATTACTGAGTTGGATTCTGAACTTCCAACTCAGAACAGACCTGGATTTGCTCTGCAGGGTGTGATATCTTATCAGATTTGGGATTTTTTTTTTTTTTTTTTGTAGTTTGGAATATTTGCACATCATAATGAGGTATCTTGGGGGTGGGACCCAAGTCTGAACATGAAATTCATTTAAGTTTCATATACATCTACGCATAGCCTGAAGGTAATTCTATACAATATTTTAAATGAGTTTGTGCCTGAAACAAAGCTTTCACTGTGTTTTGGCTGCCATCTGTCAGCTAAGGCTGATTAGAAAAGGCCATTTTAGGCCAGGTGCAGTGGCTCACATCTGTAATCCTAGCACTTTGGGAGGCTAAGACAGATGGATCACTTGAGATCAACAGTTCGAGGCCAGCCTGGCCAACATGGTGAAACCCCATCTCCAGTAAAAATACAACATTTAGCCAGGTGTGGTGGTGTGTGCCTGTAATCCCAGCTACTTGGGAGGCTGACACAGGAGAATCACTTGAACATGGGAGGTGAAGGTTGTAGTGAGCTGAGATTGCACCATTGCACTCCAGCCTGGGCAACAGAGCAAAAATTACATCTCAAAAAAAAAAAAAGAATGAATGAATGAAAAAGATATGGCCATTTAAAACATTTAAAAACGTTTTTATTTTTTTAACGTGAGATAACCAGAAACCTTATTAAATCTGAGGCTGATTTTGTCTGGGATAAAACCAGGAAGGGCTTCATTTGAACCCGCCAGAAGACACATTTCAGTTCTGTTCACCAGAACTGTGCATTCCTCAACCAGAAACACAAGACCAATGGAAAATGGGGAGGAGAAAGGAGGGGAGCCTGGATGGAGGGGAGAGATCTACCTGCCTTAGCCTGACTTCCCTAGAAAGCAGAGCCTGAGGCAAAGTATGTGGGCTACTTCTAGAGTGAAGAGTGTCTTCCTAAGGACAGAAGAGCGGGGGAAGTGGGCAACAAGGAAGGGAAAGAGGGAGAGCCCATAACATGCTCTAACGGAGCTTGCTACTGCTGGTTGTTCAGCTCAATCAATGATGCGATACTGCAGGTCCATCTTCTGACAGGCCATGTGAACAGCTGCAGCTCCGGACAGGCCTTCTGTGGGAGGAGAGGGAGAGAGTTTAGCCATTTGCTGCCTTCGTATATGAGTCAAAGGTTAGCACTGCAGGTGATGGCTCGCCTTGCTTCTGGTCGCACACATGCATGCACTGTGTGATCCCTGGATGTCTCATGACAGAGCTCAGCAGAGAAGCCCCAGGCTGGAGGTGAAGCACTAAGCAGTTGCTCATGCAAGTCTAGGATGGGAGGCAGTTTCAAGCTCCTGAGAAGTTGGTGACAGAACGTGGGGAGCTGCACAGCACAGCACCAGCTGGAACAGAAAAAGGGGCCAAAGACCTTAGAGGAGAGACCCAGAGAATCTGAGGGGTGGCACAAACCTCTACCTAGATTTCTGTTGGAAACGTGACCTTTTCCGTCTTTGAGTGTGATGGGATTGGGCATCTACTGATGTTCAAAAGTGGCAGACTGCTTGCTGTTTCTCCAGTATTCATTTCCCTCTTCTTAGGAACAGAGCCCCCAGTTTGTAACTGTGCACTTGGCTTCACAGGATGAAGACTGACTATATGTTTTCCAGCCTCCTTTGCTGATTGATGTGACCATGTGACCTAGTTCTGACCAGTGAGATGCAAGTGGAACTGACATGTGCAACTTCCGGTTTGTGTCCTTCAATGAAAAGGACATGCTCTTCCTTGTTCCTCTCTTCTTTCAGGTAGCTGGAATTCAGATGTAATGGTTCGCACTCCAGTGGCCCTTGTGGACCACGAGGTGACCTTGGGAATGAAAGCTGCAGGTGGTAAAACAAAAGTCATAAGGAGCCTGAGTCCCTGTCACTACAGTCACCAAACCATCCCTGAATTGCTTACCTACAGACTTTATACAGTGGAGAGACCTAAATTTTTGCTTTACTTAAGGCACTGCTATTTCGGATTTCCTATTCCTTTGGCTGAACTTTCGTTGTTGCTGTTGTTGAGACAGAGTCTCTATCACCAAGGCTGGAGCGCAGTGGGTGTGGTCACGACTCACTGCAGCCTCGACCTCCTGGGCTCAGGTGATTCTCCCACCTCAGCCTCCCAGGTAGGACTATAGGCATGCACCACCACATCTTGCTAATTTTCTTTTTGCATTTATTGTAGAGATAGGGTTTAGCCATGCTGCCCAAGCTGGTCTCTTTGGCTCAAGCAATCTGCTCACCTCAGCCTCGCAAAGTGCTGGGATTACAGGCATGAGCCACCACGCCCAGCCCCTTTGGCTGAACATAATCCTGAATGATATGGCATTCAAAGCAGGGAGGATATAAATAGAAGAGGAGCATAAGGATCCACTTTTAAAAATGACTCTCCTTTGTGTCCCACGACCCCTACCTGCTCCTAGCACCTTTGGCTACCCTGATGATAAAGTTAACACAGTCATACCTCACTGATATTGTGAGTCCTCTGCCAGACCACTGCAATAAAGCAACATCACAATAAAGTGAGTCGCACATGTTTTGGCTTCCCAGTGCACATAAAAGCTATGTTTAAAGTATACTGTAGTCTGTGCAATTGCATTGTCTGTAAAAACAATGTACATACCTTAATTAAAATACTTTGTTGCTAAAAAAAATGTTAATGATCACCTGAACCTTTAGCAAGTATTCATCTTTTTGCTGGTAGAGGATACTTTCTCAATGTTGATGGCTGCTGACTGATCCGGGTGGTGGTGGCTGAAGGTTGGGGTGACTGTGGCAATTTCTTAAAATGAGAAAACAGTGAAGTTTGCTGCATGAGTTGATTCTTTCTTTTATGAAAGTTCTATCTGTAGCTGTTTGATAGTATTTTACCCTTTGTCAACTACGTTTTTGGAATAAATCCTTTGTTGTCATTTCAACAATGTTCATAGCATCTTAAGAAACCACTTTCCTTGCTCATGCATAAGAAGCAACTCCTCATCCCTTCAGGTTTGATCACGAGATTGCAGAAATTCAGTCTCGCCAACAGGCTCCTCTTCTAATGCTAGCTCTCTTGCTATTTCCAGTGACTTCCTCCACTGAAGTCTTGAACCCCTCGATGTCATCCAGGAGGACTGGAATCAACTTCTTCCAACTCCTGTTAGTGTTGATATTTTGACTTCCTCCCAGGAATCATGAATGTTCTTAATGGCATCTAGAATGGTGAGTCCTTTCCAGAAGGTTTTCAATTTACTTTGTCCAGATCTGTCAGAGGAATCACTATCTATGCAGTTATAACCTTACAAAGTGTACTCCTTTAATAATAAGACTTGAAAGTCAAAATGACTCCTTGATCCATGGGCTGCAGAATGGCTGTTGTGTAAACCGTCAGGAAAACAGCGTTCATCTCCTTGTGCATCTCCATCAGAGCTCCTGTGTGAACAGGTGCACTGTTATGAGCACCTAAGTGCTGAGTCATATTTTGAAAGAAATATTTTTTTCTGAATGTGATATCTTAACCTTTGGGTTAAAATATTCAGTCAACCATGCTGTAAACAGACGTGCTATCATCCAGGCTTTGTGTTCAATTTACAGAACACAGGAAGAGTAGACTTAGCACCATTCCTAAGGGACCGAAGATTTTTAGGATGTTCTTTGAGCACTAGCTTCACCTGGAAATCATCAGCTACATTAGCCCCTGAGAAGACAGTCAGCCTGTTCCTCGAAGCTTTGAAGCCAGGCATTGACTTCTCTCCAGCTATGAAAGTCCTAGATGGCTTCTTCTTCCAATAGAAGGCTGTTTTGAATACACTGAAAATCTGCTGTTCAGAGTAGCCACCTCCATCAATGATTTTAGCTAGAGCGTCTACATAACCCGCTGCGGCTTCTATGTCCGCACTTACAGTTTCACCTTGCACTCTTATGTTATAGATGTGGCGTCTTTCCTTAAACTTCATGAACCAACCTCTCCCAACGCAAACTTTTCTTCTGCCACTTACTTACCTCTCTCAGCCTCCACAGAACTAAGAGAGTCAGGGCCTTCCTCTGGATTAGGCTTTGGATAAAGGAAATGTGG